TCATCAGGGAAGCTCTGTTGTACAAAAAGAATATGTAACCACAGTATACTTTCATCTTTTATAATGTTTATGTGCCAATAATTACTTTCCATTGTAGTTTCAAAGTGGACAATGCTGACATTAGGTGAATAAATAAAGGTGACTGAAAGAAAAGAGATGTGTAGAAATGACAAGAACTTATTGGAATAGAGAAAATTAAAGAACCCATTGTACTCAAATGATAAATGATGATAACTGCTTTTCCTGGTATACTGAGCATATGTGATAGGAAAAACAGGATACTACCCAGAATATTTGTAAATAAAATATCTAGGAATAAAATAATGAGAAATGTATATTGAGTGAAGGATGATAAAATTTTACTTAGGGATATAAGAGAAGAGGTAAATAAATAATGTTCAATATTGTAAAAAATGCCAACTCTCTCCAATTGCTTCCTAAATATATTAAAATAACTAAAGAATTTTATATATAACAACATGATGATTCTATTATTTATATGAAAGAATAAATTTCTTTATCTGTGCCCATAGCTTGCATGATTTTATGATTCATGACAGTGATTAAAATATCTCTTTTAAATTATTTTAATATTTAAAAATTTTATCTTGTTTTTAATTTATTTTTTGCTGCATTGCACAGCTTGTACACTTTTAGTTCCCCAACCAGGGATGGACCCTGGGCCCACAGTGAAAACTCCAGGTCCCAACCACTGTACCACCAGGAAATTTTCTATTTTTTATTTCTTTTTAAATTAATTTTATAAAAGTTATATATATTAATACATATTTGGGCTTCCCAGGTGGCACTAGTGGTAAAGAAGCCAACAGCCAATGCAGAAGATGTAAGAGACACTGGTTCAATACCTGGGTTGGGAACATCCTCTGGAGAAGGAAATGGCTACCTACTCCAGAATTCTTGCTTGGAGAATCCTATGGACAGAGGAGCCTGGCGGGCTACAGTCCATGGGGTCACACAGAGTTGAACAGGACTGAAGAAAATTCTGAAAGAGATGGAAACACCAGACCACCTGACCTGCTTCCTGAGAAATCTGGGTGCAGGTCAAGAAGCAACAGTTAGAACCGGACATGGAACAACAGACAGGTTACAAATCCGGAAAGGAGTACTTCAAGGCTATACATGGGTCATGCTGCTTATTTAACTTATATGCAGAGTACATCGTGAGAAACGCTGGGCTGGATGAAGCACAAGCTGGAACCAAGATTGCCAGGAGAGATATCAATAACCTCAGATATGCAGATACCACCACCCTTATGGCTGCTGCTGCTGCTAAGTTGCCTTAGTTGTGTCCGACTCTGTGCGACCCCATAGATGGCAGCCAACCAGGCTCCCCCGTCCCTGGGATTCTCCAGGCAAGAACAATGGAGTGGGTTGCCATTTCCTTCTCCAATGCATGAAAGTGAAAAGTGAAAGTGAAGTCGCTCAGTCATGTCCGACTCTCTGTGACCCCATGGACTGCAGCCTACAGGCTTCCCCGTCCATGGGATTTTCCAGCAAGAGAACTGGAGTGGGTTGCCACTGCCTTCTCTGCCACCCTTATGGCAGAAAGAAAGAACTAAAGAGCCTCTTGATAAAAGTGAAAGAGGAGAGTGAAAAAGTTGGCTTAAAACTCAACATACAGGAAACGTAAGATCATGGCATCTGTCCCATCACTTCATGGCAAATAGATGGGTAAACAATGGAAGCACTGAGAGACTTTATTTTGGGGGGCTCCAAAATCACTGCAGATGGTGACTATAGCCAGGAAATTAAAAGACGCTTGCTCCTTAGAAGAAAAGTTATGACCAACCTAGACAGCATATTAAAAAACCAATACAGTATACTAATGCATATATATGGAATTTTAAAAGATGGTAACGATAACCCTGTATGCAGGACAGAAAAAGAGACACAGATGTATAGAACAGACTTTTGGACTCTGCGGGAGAAGGCGAGGGTGGGATGATCTGAGAGAATAGCACTGAAACAAGTATACTATCAAGGGTGAAACAGACCACCAGCCCAGGTTGGATGCATGAGACAAGTGCTCAGGGCTGCTGCACTGGGAAGACCCAGAGGGATGGGATGGAGAGGGAGGCGGGAGGGGAGATCAGGATGGGGAACACATGTAAATCCATGGCTGATTCATGTCAATGTATGGCAAAAACCACTACAATACTGTAAAGTAGTTAGCCTCCAACTAATAAAAATAAATGAAAAAAAAAAAAGAAACTCCCTTACATGTCTATCTTTTGTCTTATATATTGGGTATAAACAAAAAGTTGCTTAAAAAAAAAAAAGGAGAGACATTACTTTGCCAACAAAGGTCCGTCAAGTCAAAGCTATGGTTTTACCAGTGTCATGTATGGATGTGAGTGTTGGACTATAAAGAAAACTGAGCACTGAAGAATTGATGCTTTTGAACTGGTGTTGGAGAAGACTCTTGAGAGTCCCTTGGACTGCAAGGAGATCCAACCAGTCCATCCTAAAGGAGATCAGTCCTGAATATTCACTGGAAGGACTGATGCTGAAGCTGAAACTCCAATACTTTGGCCACCTGATGCAAAGAACTGACTCAATGGAAAAGCCCCTGATGCTGGGAAAGATTGAGGGCAGGAGGAGAAGGGGACAACAGAGGATGAGAGGGTTGGATGGCATCACCGACTCAATGGACATGAGCTTGAGTAAGCTCCAGGAGTTGGAGATGGACAGGGAGGCCTGGCAAGCTGCAGTCCATGGGGTCGCAAAGAGTCGGACATGACTGAGAGACTGGACTGAACTGAAAGTACCTTACACACACACAGAGACAGATATAATTTTTAATAATAATAAACAGTACAGAGGGGCATAATGACAACCAGTAAATCCCTGCCCCACCGTTCTCAACTCTTAGCTTGCCATTAAAGAAATGAACCCCTCCCTGTGTCTGCTCTGATCAAGCCATCTCCCTCAACTGTTCCAAATTGCGTCACGTCTTCCGTTGCTGCACCCTGCAAGCGTGCTTTCTTGTACACTTTGAAACGTTTCCTTTTCCTAAAGTTTCCTCCACAAGAGGGGTGAAGAAATGATGCCTTCCAGGGTTTCCTTAGCTGCTCATCAATCCGTATATTACTGAAAACTCCCTTCACCTCACTTGAGGTCTACTTGCTCTTCTAATCTGGAGGCCTGGCCTCCCCTTTGGCTCATTCCTATACAACTGAGCGTTCCGTGAGGTTTTAGACGCATTTCCCATTTTTAAACAATGCACTCTGTACTCCTCCTTTTGTAAAGTTTGCGCCACTTTTTGTTTTATAGGTAAAACAGCTTCTCAGATACTTCTGAGGATTTCAGGATTTTAATATTTTTAGTCCTTTGCTATTCCTTCAACTATCTATTTCCTCATAAGTTAATTTTTTATTTTATCTTGGGGCTTTTTTGGTCATGCTGCAGGATTTCGGCAAATGGTGCTTTTCAGCCAGACAAGTTTGCAGGCAGGACGGGTGAGCCAATGTATGAGAATCAGCCCTTCTGTCGGGCCCCCAGCTGGCACAAAGCTAGCAGAGGCTCCCAGGCAGGTGCTGAGCTTCAGAGCAGGGCAGGGTCACGGTCAGCTCCCGGCCGAGGGGAAGAAGACAGGCAACATGTGCCTGAGCCTCCTGCAGAAGAGCATCTCCCTGATAAAGTTGCTGATCTAAGGGGACTGTTATTTTCAACAGCCTGTGTATCTTCTTCATACCAAGAATTGATAAAATATTTCTTATTCATTTATTTCTTTATTTTGTTATGGTCTGACTATACTACTATGTTATTAATAAACAGATGCATATGATATCTAAATGATATAATATAGGACACATTCTAATTGGAGGATTAGAAGTCTAATTCTAATTGATAAAGACTTGGCTTATACTCTCTATAAGCATATGTGATAACCTTACAACTAGGGACACTATTCAAATAATTCTACCTTTGATGTATATAATCTTTCATTAACATTATTATATATATTATTATATTATATACTTAATTTTGATTTGCAGTCTCCTAATTTTGCTTTGTTCTTGCTCTCCTACACACACACACAGAAGCAGGCTGCCATAGTGAATCATAATTACATGCTTCAGAGGGTAAAAGCTTCTAGTTCATGACTATTATAGTAGTGCTATATTATTTTCGTTGTTCAGTCGCTAAGTCGTGTCTGACTCTTTACCCCCATGAACTGTAGCATGCCAGGCTTCTCTGTCCTTCACTATCTCCCTGAGTTTGCTCAAATTCATGTTCATTGAGTCAGTGATGCCATCCAACCACCTCATTCTTAATCGTCCCCGTCCCCTCCTGTCCTGATCTTTCCCAGCATCAGGGTCTTTTCCAATGAGTCAGCTCTTCACATCAGGTGGCCAAAGTATTAGAGCTTCAGCTTCAACATCAGTCCTTCCAATGAATATTCAGGGTCAATTTCCTTTAGGATTGACCACTAGTGCTATATGGAGAAGGAAATGGCAAAGTACTCCAGTATTCTTGCCTGGAGAATCCCATGGACAGAAGAGCCTGATGGGTTACAGTCCATGGGGTCACAGAGTCAGACACGACTGATCTCTATCTTGAGATCCAAATCCCTATTTCTAACTAATTCCTGTATCTTCAAGTGCAAGTTGAGCTCAGTAGCCTTCAGCCTCACCTCTCACGCCAGCTCTCCTCTCTTTCCATAAGCCAGACGGCATGAGCATCTCCCCAGTTGGCCAGGCTAAGAGCCCACGCCCCTTCCCAGTCAAGCCCTGCTGAGTTTACCTCCTTCATGCTTCCTGTCTTTCTGCACCCCTGTATCTCCTCTAGGAGCCACTCAAAGGTAGACAGCATCTGGTTCATTATTTGTAAAACAATAGAAGAGGCTTTCATTTGGTATATGACACTAATGGACACAAAAAAGACAAATTTTCTAAGTACCTAATCTACTGTGTCAAGCATTCAAACTCAGTGAAAAATTCTTTCCTACAAGTTAATAAAAAACATAAGAGACTTACTTAAATGGTGTAAAGAAAAACGATAAAGTAGCTTCTTTTTTCTGAGTCATTTTTACCTGGGAACCAAGCGTGAAAATATTTTATATTAGAAAAGACAAAAAAACAAACTAATTTCATTTTGAAATACAAATATCCATTAAAATGGTTCTTTGGCGATAGAAATAAATGGAATTTTGTGTTACTATCCTACTTCATAAATATTTAAAGAAAATGTTAATGATATATAGTACCATTACAATAAGCTGAGAATGAAGCGTATCAACCCTACCAAAAAAAAAAAAAGCTGTCATAGAATTAAGCTATACTTTTTAACTCTTAGGAAACAAGCTATGCTGCATTAACACTATTATGAATAACAAAGTTTCAGTTAAACGATCATTTCTTCAAGTTTTTAATGCAAATAATAATATACACAGAATGACATGAAATGTTGCAGTCTCTAAAACTACTTCTACAAGGCAAATTCCATAGAAAGAGAATTGGTTTGCAGTCTTTATAAGCATATGTGGTACTCTAACAGTTAGGGACACTCCTCAGTGCTAATTCTATGCCCTCAAACTGATTCATGAAAACTGCACCTCAGAAATGTGGAACTGCAGGACGCTAGTCAGGTACAGACAATTTAAAGATAATACATTACAAAAATCATTTCTTCAAATGTAAAATCAAGTATTGTCACAAGATATATTCAGTTTTAAAATTGGAATCATGTCCATATTTGTGTGTGGTCTTGTTTTACCTTGAACTGTTCAAGAATCTGTACTGCATTTGCAAACATGCTCTCTGCTTTTAAGAGATCAGAGGTATCAAGTATGTCCACAGGAATGATTCCCTGTAAATAATAAACACTGGTTTAATATTACTACTAACAAAGCTCAGGTTATTCTTATAACACACAACAGACTTACAAGGGAAGCAACAGAGATAAGTCATGGACAAATACATTCTTGGAATAATTTAAAAATCTTTTTTTAAATCGTAACTGAAAAATGTTCTATTACTTGTCTCACAAAATAGATATAAAAATAAATAAAGCAAAAGAAATGAATTAAGTCCAATAAAACCTAACATTTATCAAACGATTACTATATGCTCTGCACGCACAAAAAGTTACTATGGTGGGCCACAGCCAGCACATTAAAAAAAAAAAAAAAAGCATAAGAAAAATAGGAGTGTGCTATTAGGGTTTAGTTGCTAAATCGTGCCCAGCTCTTGCGACGCCATGGACTGTAGCCCACCAGGCTCCTCTGTCTATGGGATTTTCCAGGCAATACTGGAGTGGTTTGCCATTTCCTTCTCGAGGGGATCTTCTCGACCCAGGGATCGAACCCGGGTTCTCCTGCACTGAAGGCAGGTTCTTTTCCAACTGAGCTACCAGGGAAGCTCCACACTATTATACTATACTTAAAAGTGAGGATGTTTTGTGAAACTTTTGTTTCAGTTATAGACATACACACACATTTATTTCTATAGGGGTCAGATGAGTCAGGATTCTGAGGAAGATGATATATTTTTTTTTAAACTTTGACTTGAAGGGCTAGAAAGAATGGCTAATGGGAATGGATTCTGTTTGTCTTGTAGTTTTTCATCATCCAGTTCCCATCTTAAAAACATTTCCATTGGAAGCTGAGATATTAGACGGAGCATAGTGAGTCTAATGAGGTCCCCTGCCTTCCCATACTGAAGGGTAGACAAGTAATCCAGGCTGGACCACTCAAATGCTAATAAACACTGGAATCTGAAGCTTCAGTGTCAAGGAACAGACAGTACAAGAGGCACAATGTGAGTCGGTGACCCTGCAGACTGGCTCTGCCACGGAACCGCAGTGAGTTTCTTTGTCCTGAGTCTCTGGAGCACTGATATAGCAAACCAGCAATATCTTTGTCATAAATTTTCTTTAAATGGATTCAGAAACACATAAAAAGTAAATTTTACTGTACAATAATTTTTCTTTTATTCAGAGAGTTGATAAGAAAATTGTACTCTTTACCACTGAATTAAGAGGGAAGGGAACTACAATAAAAGCTGCCATCAACAGTGCAACATCAGCCTGCAAACAGAAGAAGTGAAATCTAAGACGGCGACAGATCAACAAGGACATTAAGTAATTTAATTTGTATAACTGGATTTTGAAAGATAACCATGATATCCATTTTAATCCATTATCATCAAATACTTATTTCATATACAGTAGATACTGAGCTCTAAACAAATGTCATTTGCTAGAGGGACATGAACTCATGAGAACCTAAATCTGAAACCACTAGGAACCCCCAAAGTAAAAGATATAAAACAAAAAAGTTACTTATTCTACAAGCTAAGAGCTTGACCACCCAATGTAACAGTTTTTGGGTAATATGACAAGGATGCTTACTAGACAGAAAATAAACAGCAAAAGTAGACTTCAATGAGATTTATACATATACACATATATATATTAATTAAAGAAAGAATACAGCAGAAGGAGGTTGGTCGGCCAGGCAGTGGAGTCTAGAAAGACATCAACTAGAATAAGAGTCTCTTTAGACACAAGTCCACAAGCACGGCTTTGGAGAGCCCCCTCCAGGTCCAAGTGTCAAGAAGAGTGGGCCACGCTTCCGCCGGTCTCCATGGCCTCACCTCCCCATCCGTCCTCGGGCCGCTCTAACTTGTTCTGACTCTATCATCCTCTAGACTGCGCTCACTACAAAACTAATAACCTCCATTTTCTACATCTAACTGATTGCTTTTGTATTTGTCCTGATGATGTTTCAGGCAATCAAGTGCTTGGCTGTCAGAATGCCCAATTTCAAACACTTTGCTTGTGATCTCTGAGACCTTGGGCAGGTTATTTCAACTCTCCAATGCTTCAGTTTTCCTTGTCAGTTAAAAAATAAGTAAAAGTTTTTCCCTTACAGAATTATGGCCAGAGCCAATGAGACAATTTATAAAGTGCTGGTGTGTAATAATCCTGCACTAACCAGTTGCTGCAGACACTGCTGTGATTATAAGGATGTGACCACTCGGCACTGTGCAGACCACTCCCTCTGGGTCTCTGTAACCCCACCGTTAGAGTGTCTCCAATCTCTACTTTCTCAGTTCAGTTCACTCAGTCGCTCAGTCGTGTCTGACTCTTTGCGACCCCATGGACTGCAGCACGCCAGGCCTCCCTGTCCATCACCAACTCCCGGAGTTTACTCAAACTCATGTCCATCCAGCCGGTGATGCCATCCAACCACCTCATCCTCTGTCGTCCCCTTCCCCTGCCCTCAATCTTTCCCAAGATCAGGGTCTTTTCCAATGAGTCAGCGCTTCGCATCAGGTGGCCAAAGTACTGGAGCTTCAGCTTCAGCATCAGTCCTTCCAGTGAACATTCAGAGCTGATTTCTCAAGCCCTCATTTAGAGTTGGAGTTTTGTCCCAGGCTCTCAGTCTGTCTCACTTTCACCATCTACGCCCTCTTTGCCAAGCCCCAGCTCACAGAAAACTGACAGCACCCCTGGCCACCTGCCTGCATCCTCTCCTTCCCCAGCCTCCACTGCTGGCCTCTGAACTATTCTCCAACACAGAGAAGACGCTGCCATAAAACCGCAGATCGGGTCAGTCCCCGGCTTCAAACACCAGGAGGGCCTCCCCAAACCTGGGGATGAGCCCACCGGCCCACGCGGCCCTGCGCGCCCAGTGTCTGCCTCCCACTAAACCACGCTGTCCGCGCGCTGTTCAGCCGCCTGCTTCAGGATCCTCGGAAGTGCCATGTAGCCCCTCCCAGGCCTCTGGGCACAGGCTGCTCCTCGGCCTGAGACGCTCCCGCCTCCTGCCCGGGCCTGGCAACTTCTGCTCAGGCTTCAGTCTCGGCTCAAGCCTCGGTTTCTCAGGAAGCCTTTGCTGACCACGCAGCCCTCCAGATAGATCTGCTCTACGCCCTCATGGCTTCCCAGGTCTCTTCTGCTGTACTTATCGCTGCTATAAGTTTACATTTATTTGTATGATAAGTAAAGATAAATGTAACATTTATCTTATTCCTCAACTATAAGCTTCCTAGGGGAGGGACTGTGTCTGCTTTTTATTCACCATTACAGCTGTCACATGAAGTTTAATGTTAATATTTCAACGTTGAATGTTAGTGTTAAAGTCTGCACAGTGCTTAAACATACTGCTGACACATAACAACGCTGGCAGAAGGAATGAATACAGAATTCTTATCTCATGTAGATCTGACGCAGTATTCGGAGAGTAATAGCATTCAGTTTTTGATTATGATCCAGTCTGGCTATGAATAATACATGCTCTTATTTTATGGACTTCAAGATATTCCCATCCCCCTGACAGTGATTTTTAATGCAAATTAATAGACTGCTATCTGATTCTATACATTCTATACATTTCCATTTGCATGCATCTGGAGAGAAGAGACCATTCTTAATATGCTGAGAAAGAAAAGGCTTCTGTGAGCACACAGCTGAAAATGAGACCCCAGAGCTTGGTTTATCCTCCACAGTAAGGAAAGCCAGCTTCTGAGGTGAACATGTGAGGTGACCTGGAGGAGGTGTAAGATATTCCTGCCATTCTGGAGGACACACACCAATGACACCATGCCTTTCACTTGAAGACAGCTGTCTACACAGCAGATCCTCAACAAGAAAGTTCTGTGCTTCCTATCTACAGGTGATGCTACTGGTCTAACTGTATGAGATTGGCCAGGCATTCTCCTGTAATGTAAGGTTTCCTACAATGTAAGGATTCCTATAATGTAAGGTTTCTAATCTATATACTCTTGTCACTTTTTTCCCACTGCATGTGTAAAAATTTTGGGGTAGAATTAAAGATAAAACTTGCGTTAATAAAGAAGAAACAGTAACTGACACACTAGCAGGAAGGAAACCCATAGTGGGGTTTTCTTAGATCCGTGCTGAAAGCAACTGAGCAAGGCAACCATGGCAAAAAAGTCACACAAATGTAACAGGCATGCACATTTCAACTTGCACAATAATTCTGTAATTAGCCAGTGTTATTTGGAGGAAGTCTTCTTTCGGTTTTATTTGAGGCTGCTTTATTTTGCCCAAAGAAAGATTACTTGGGGTGAAAATATTCACACTAGCAGGATTTCTCTTAGTAGCTGAAATGTTTTAGAAAAATCTTTTATCATATTTAATACAGTTTTCTTGCCCAGATTTTTTTTTTTGTTCTAAACTTCTTATAGGAGAGAAAATTAAATTTGAACATGATTAAATATAATGAATACCTGATTAATATCTTGTTTCTTCCAGTTCTCCAACTTCCATTCTGAAAGATACAAAGAAACATAAGCGCTGATGTTAAGAATTAAAAAAAAAAAAGAAGTTATTTGATTACTGCAGGTGGTCAATGGAAAAAGAAAGTATTGGGACAGTCGATTTTAAGCCAAGTATGAACCACGAGGGTGCTAAAAAGGGAGAGTGGCAAACTTTTTTAAACTAGAATTTTAAAAGAGTAACTCAATAATATATATTTGATATTTTCTGTAATAGTTTATTACACTTCCAAAATGCTCAGTAGGGGATAATTGTTTCAAAACATCAAAAGGCTAGGGAAGGAAAGATGGAAGCAAAAGGCACAATGATAACAACCGTCACATGACCGCAGTGACAGTCCTGCTCCAGGGAGTCACTACGGCGGCCAACTGTCTGTTGGTCACTCTAAGCTTTTCTTTTTTTTGTAATGGCAGCTGCTTGCAAAATACATGAAATTTTTTAGCTCTGATGCTCCTACCACTACTAATCCCAAATGTGAAAGTAGTATGTGCTTAGCAGCTCAGTCGTGTCCGAGTCTTTGTAACCCCATGGACTGCAGTCCGTCAGTATTCTCTGTCCATGGGGATTCTCCAGGCAAGGATACTGGAGTGGGTTGAAATCAACTGCCAAAATAAAGTTCTGTTTCCTAAGTACAAACATCCCATTTAATCTAGCTTCTACTTAGACCCAACCTAATCCATTTAACGGGCAACCGTGGCAAAGAACCCACCTGCCAAGCAGAAAACACGGGTTTGATCCCTGGGTCAGGAAGATCCCCTGGAGAAGAAAATGGCAACCCACTCCAGTATTCTTGTCTGGGAAACCCCGTGGACAGAAGAGCCTGGAAGGCTACAGTCACAAAGAGCCAGGCACGACTGAGCGACTAAACAAAAACAATCTATTTAACACAGAGTATAGGAATACAAAATGATGCAGCTGCTTAGGAAAACAGTGTGGCAGTCTGCAGAAAATAAAACATAAGGAACATATGACCTGTTATTACTCACCTAGGAATCTACCCAAGAGAAATAAAAACACATATCCACACAAACAATTTTATACAAAGGTTCACTGCATCATTGTAATAATAGCCCAAATGTGGGAAACAACCCAAATGTCCATAAGATGATTGAACAAAATATGGTATATACATACAATGGAGAGAGGAGTAAGGAGTGACTGCTAATGGATAAGGGATTTTGTGGGGTGAGGGAGAGCAATGAAATTGCATAGTAGAGGCAAAATCGTGTGAATATGCTAAAAAAATATTCAATTACACACTTTTAAAACATGAATTTTATAGTATGAGAATTACATGTCCAAAAAATTCAAAAAAAGAAAGAATATGTAAGAAAACTTTATTATACAAACTCAAAGGTCTTCTAGCAGAAACACCTAATACAGCTGTGAGTTCACATCCCTGGAGAAGGTTTTAAAAAGAAAATTTCCAGGCCTTACCCAGACTCATGGAATCGAAATATCTAGTGATAAGGTCTAGAAATCTGTAATTTTAAAAAAAATCTGTATTCTTAACTAGTACTTTGAATGAGTTGACACAACTAAGCCGGAGAAGGACATTCGGGAGGAATTTATTTTGTCCAACTAGTAAAAGCTCAAAATTCTAAAAAGACCCTTACCTTACAAGAGAACCAGAGCTCCAAGGAAAAAGAAATTCCTTTTTAGCATGGATTGAGAAACAAGGGGGCTTGTGAAACAGAGAAGGCCTTCAGAAGTACTAGTGACAGTGAAGTGAAAGTTGCTCAGTCGTGTCCGACTCTTTGCGACCCCATAGACTGTGTAGTCCATGGACTTCTCCAGGCCAGAATACTGGAGTGGGTAGCCTTTCCCTTCTCCAGGGGATCTTCCCAACCCAGGGATCAAACCCAGGTCTCCCCCATTGCGGGCAGATTCTTTACCAGCTGAGCCCAAATACTAGAGACGGCAAAATCTGTTCAGTTTTGAAATGTAAATTGTGACATAAATGTGGCTTATCTGATTGATAGTCTTTGTAGGTAAGATCTAAGCCAAGGGTTTAATATGAGTCCTACACTAATAAGGTTAGTGAAAAAAGAATAGTACACTTGAACTTTCATAAGGCAAATAATAATGTGTATTTTAAGCTGAATATCATAAATGAAATAATATAAACGATACAAAAGTAATACACAGAAATAGTAATGTCACAAATAATAAAATGAAAGCTGTAATTTGAAAAGTCATTTTTTAAAACTAAACTTTGATTTTAAAAATGTCACATCCATAAAAACAATAAAGGTAAGCATTCCTACCTTGCAAATATGAGTCATCAAATTTCAGAGGTGACACTTTTTGGGGAAGCCTGATTCCAGCTCCCCAAGCGATAAAAGGAGTACAAGTCTCTAAAGGATGACCAGCTCCAAGGTCAAGCTTTGTGCCAAATAAGGCACAAAGAGCAACGTAAGTATATAAAGATGAACCTATACCTGATTAACCTATACCTAACTATTTTTTAATACTGAGTTGTAAAGAGTTGACCCATAAAGAGCTAATTTCTGCCACCACACTCCCAAAAGGTTGCATCTCTATTTAACAATTAGTTTTAAAATATCCTCAGGGCAAGTCAGAGCATCAACAACAAACAGGCAAAAAGAGAAACCAGAACATCCGTGGAGTGACTCTGGTTGAAAGAAGATTAAGAATCCTAACGACTAAGGCTTGGAGGAGATGCCACCAGAGTGACACCGAAGGCAGAAACCACAGGGAAGGCTCCTCTGGGGAGTAACTGCCAGGTTTGGGGTGGGCGGTCCAGGCCAGCTCTGCTCTGAAGAGGAAGCAGAGTCTCGGTCTGCTTTTCTTCCCGGCCACTCCGGCTGGTGTAGCCAAAAGCCCCTGATAAAGTGGGACCCCCTCATCAGAATTCTACACTGTGATCCGGGGACCCAAGTCTCAGCTTTGCCTTGGTTTGCTCTCTGGGCACACAGTTTCTGCCTTGGGAGTCTGGCAGAGTGGACAGTCTCCTCTAGTGGACAAGGTCAGCAGCCCAGGGTCCCCCAGCAACACCACCTTAAACTCACGCACCATGCCATCACATACAGTTACTTCTAGGTAGATGAATGTGGGTTTGGGGGGCAGGGTTCTTCTCTGTGTGCGTTTGTGTGTGGGTGTGCACACACGCACACACATAGCTGCGTCCGACTCTGAAACCCTGTGGACTGCAGCCCTCCAGGCTCTGTCCATGCAACTTTCCCGGCAAGTACACTGGAGGGGGTTGCCATTTCCTACTCCAGGGGTCTTCCCAACCCAGGGACTGAACCCTGTCTCATGTCTCCTGCACTGGCAGGCAGATTTCTTTATCAACTGTGCCACCGGGGAAGTCAAATGAGAATACATTCCTTTCATAGAAGAAAGATTATATAAGATTAGTTCTTTTTATGCTAACATTTTACACATACTATTATGTGCTAGACACTTTGCATATACTAAGACATCTAATCCTCTTCAATACTCTAAAATATTTGCAAGCTACATTTACCACTACTCCAATCATAAAGTATGTATCACTTAGAGACAGACTAGCCCCAGTCTGTCATTCCATGGTCAGCGGTAAAGATAAATGCTGTTTTCCCATTATTTCCATAAACATCTTTAACAGTAGACTCAATTTCTTTCAATTCCTTATCAACTAATTTAATATTGTCTGAATATTCCCTGTTTCAGAAGAGCAAATTAAATTATATTAATTACATTAATTTGGCAAAATCAAATTTATTTGACACAAATTTATGATAAAGTCAATAACTCCCAAAATACTTTTAGATTTCAACCTTAATGTTTTTAAATCAGAGCTCTGTAGATTGTTAAAAACAATTTTTCCTCTCTTAAAGGAGTAAAACAATCTGAAATCATTTTCAAAAATATTTTTTTTTAAAAAGTATTGATTAGCAAATAGATTTTCATGAATGCTTTTTAAATCTCAAATGCAACAATGATGACTTTTAAATTCAGGTCTCTAATAATGTAAACTATGTTGCTCTTGCCACATTTATCAAACAGGTTAAGTATCACTGTTTCAACTACAGAATGTTTTCATTCTTTAGTGTGTTTGTGATATGATATAATACATTTTGAACAAACTATATTTAAGCTTTCCATATAATTGAACAAGGGGGTGATTTAGTATGTTTTATTACTTAAGACAATGCATTGTGTTAAAGAAGAGAAGCATGAGGTATTCATTACTGGAAGTTAATAGACTCTACTGTTAGTTAGACTGATCTAAATCTAATCCAAAATGAAAAATAAAAGTATAATATAAATTCTCCCTATCTTATGCTCTGCAAAAGTGAGAAAAACAGTTGCTGTTTTATATAAGGAGTGTTACTGAAATATAGTATACAAAACTTTATACTATTATCTGTTAGATATAGCACTGATTAAATGGAATGTAAGGAACAGCTAGTTACATCTTTTTGTGATATAAATACTAGCACTATAAAAATGCTTTTTGTTTCAAAATTTATTAAAATCCTTCTAAAATATAATCTTTTTCTCTCTGCTGTGATAAATGAGTAATATGGAATACACATACAGAAATTATCTGACTTATATTAATGTGTAGTGTGGTCACAGCACATGGATTTGAGCCACAATATCATACTACGTATCATATAAATTAGAATGTATTCTACTTTAGAGTTATTCAAGATATAAATTCTGTTGTGATCAATTACAAAGAAAACATCACAGTCCTTTAAAAGTTCAAACAGAACAGGTATTTCCCTCAAAACCGTGAAATTTTAAACACAGCATTAAAATTACCTTGATGATGGTCGATGAGCATGCCCATTTGTGTCTATTCCTAATAAATGTAAGAAAAAAACTATTTTGTCTTCATTTACATTAGAAAACAAAAGATTGGTTGTTTCTGGCAGCATGAAAGAATTCCTATATGTAACAAATCAGTTAAAAATTTTTAGTTCATTAATTTTATTTAAAAAGTAATTCCAATGAAAACATTTAATTAAGCTTATACAG